CCGAATTACAGGCAGTGCATGAATCGTTATAGAAGTGTGTTTTACAACAAGTGATTGGTTATAAGGCAGAAGTTCTCAACTATGAAAATAAAAATTTAGATTAATTTTTGAAAAACACGTTTTTCGCATTAGTTTGCTTGCAAACGGATCCAATGCAGAGCGAGAACGTGATGACTGAAATTGATAAAAGTTTGGGAAATCCTTAATGGCACACACACATTATACACTAAAGTTTATCAAGATAAAAGCACTTTGTGTTTAATAGCCCTTAAGTGGATATGTGGATGACGGTAAGTAAAGTGACCTTGTTTGCTAATAGTTGTTTTTAACATCACGCACGTAAGATATATTGATATTGGAAATCCGTTTGTTACACTCGGAATCTGTTCAGCATCATCTATTTGTTCAAGTGAATTCATTTTTCAAAATTGCATTGGTAATGCCAAATTTATAAAACAAAAATTTAGAAGAAAGGAATAAAATTCTCACTAAGATGGAAAAGCTAAAGCAAGTTAAATGAAATTGCGTCTTACGTTACCAACAACGGGACGACGTTTGTATCGCATTATCATTTGATTTTCAAAAATTTAGGAGAGAAAAAAAACGAATATAATTTGTCTACAAAATATGTTAAAGTGAAAGGTGTTCGAAATTCGTCTAATGGTTTGTTTAGTCGCACGTACGTCCACCACGTGTACAGGTACGTGGTCGAGAGCGGGTGGCGCGTTTCAGTTTAACTGTGCGTATAAGATATATGTGTGATAATGTTTGTCTGTCAGCGAAGTGAGTACATATTGTCTATTTAACTAAACAATAGACATCGTGACAGCCGGAAGCTAAAAGCCACTCATATGAACGCGACTGGAAATATTCACTTAACCAAAAGTGTGATTTTGTCAAGGCATTAATTTAATCGATTAACACGTGCTTGTTTACACGCGATTCAAGCCTACAAAATGATGATATAACCTTATCTTTCTTTAGCTATTGATCTGTACGTGGGTGTAACGCGATGGCATCGTAACCAAGTAGACCATTATTGTCTAATGGCCGTCGCTATTCGTTAAATCGAGCAACTAGTAAAACATTAGTGCACACGCATACATGCATATTAAAATGTCATCTCTATATATATATATATATATATACATACATTTTCTAAATATACATTTTCTAACATTTATGCGTTTGCTGTTATTTGCCTCGTCACTATCAGGTTCATCATCCCACATATATATATACATATATATGTATCTACGTACGTTTATAACGAAACGGAAGGAAAGAGAGAAGAACATATCCCTTAGAGAATAATAATGAGACAAATTACAAATGAACATACGTGCATTAACCGATTTACGGCAAACTAACTATGCTTTGCATATGCTATGCGGCTACCCAAACAGATTGTGTCTGTTTATGTGTGGCTTTGTATTATTCGTATATGCTAATGGTATTGTTAAGTGTCAAAAACCAAAACTTAATATGAGACCACTCGAAATCCCCTAACGACACAGTGGCCAAATCAAGTATTGTACATGTTTTGTGATATGTGCCTGCAAACTGTACAACACCACGAATCACACATTAACTTTTGCCGAACTAATGGCATTAGATTGCCAAAAGGCTATTACAAAATTGTCGTAGATGATCTTAAAACCTTCTTCGTTATCAACTTCTCGCATAAACCTAAGCTTATGCCTTCGGTCACTTCTAGCACCTGTCAGTGGTTAAACCTACATTTTTACAAGCACACACACACAAACTCACGCAAACACGCATAAGTGCCTATCTCAGCTTCAAATTACCATATTATTGTCATAGTAACAGGTTTCCTTATGAACACTTGCATGTAATTTCAATTACACTCTCTCTCCAGCATGTTATGTTACATATGTTGGTTTTGCTATGGGTGTCTTGCCGATTGGTTCTTGGCCAAATATTAAAGTATTTATATTTAGTTACTTTGGCATATCCCTTAACATAATAAACTGATTTTAATTGCATAAATTTGTGCATGATCTGATCATAATTCAAGTTTTCTACTTGAAAATGATGTTCTATTAATTTACATAAATCTTAGACGTATTAAGTGCTTCGAAAACTTTATTTGCTTACTACATGAAATTAATTCACCTAAATTCACCCAAAACAAAATACCCAACAAACTTAAAATTTAATAAAGCTTAGTTTCGATTTAAGAAGATATTTTAAAATTTTATTCAAAATACAAAAAGTAATTACGTTAACGTCAACTATGTACATATGTTAAAAGAAGAAGTAAGAGAATTATATTCGATCCTGAAAAATGCTAAAAATAGGAAAAGGAACTAAATTTTCATACCTGAGTGAACGTAGCTGACTTTTTCTATTTTCAGAATAAAAACTGTAATTTTATATGGTGCATATGTTGTAGTTTGTGACTTACGGAAAACAACAGTGTTCTTGTAGGATCTTCCTTTGGCCAGTTTGGGTTATTTTCAAGTTCATTTTTATGAACGGGAGGATGTTTACCGCAGACACTACACAATTGGGCAGACAGGCAGATAGACACTCGAACAAACGGATGTGTTTAGATGCAGTCAAAATTTGAAACTACCCAAGAGTTTATGTAGTTTAGGGAGTTTGCGAAGCGTGCTTTTACGCCTTACAAAGATATTGAAAAAAAATTTAACTTTAATACGCTATGGTGTCAGATAGACGAGACCAATTTTTCCCATTTTTATACATCTAATAGATGCCGTAGTTTATGAATAATGGCTAAAAAACCAATTAGTTATTCCTTTTGAAAAACACAAGTGTTCTCAGTTTACGTGATACTGTAGGCGTATCTGTCCACCGATTTGGACCATTTTCCATACCAACCTGTGCGCAAGAATTTCCAATATTTTCGCCAAATTGGAATGTTTACAACAGACATTACATAAATGGGCAGACGGACAAACTTAAATCGATTCAGAATTTGATATTGATCAAGAATATATATATACATTTTATATGGTGCCTCATCCATGGTAAAAATATGTGATCATCATCAATGCATGGTGTTAAGTGGTCAAAGGAGAAAAAACATTTCAATGTGCACTTGCTCTGCAAATGGAGGACAAAAAAAGGGAAGAAAAATGTTTCCAAGTCTATTTCTTGTCAAAGCATTGTGGTTAGTCCAATTAAAACGAAAGTAAGCTAAATGTGTATCAGAGATGTCATAAACACCCTGAAAGATATCTTTAAAGACGCAACCAGATTCCTGTAATTGTTTAAATGTTCGTTTATCCATCCGTCTAATAGTCCATCTAGTGACTACGTTCCCGTAACTGTATCAAGAGAATTAAACCTGACATGAAATCTTTCTTATATATATTTTCAAGTTCAACCCTACTCTTCTGCCAGCAAGATCGATCTTTACCTAATTTTCATTTTAAAATATTCACATACCAATCGTTACTAACATGCAGAAATGAATTCAAAACTTCTTGCACACTGACATATACATGCAAACACAATAGATCTTGGATCCTATATGAGCTTTGTGCAATATCTTCGGTCATCAAATTCTCACATACGCTTAAATCGAAACTATAACATCTCATTTTGTCCTCACAATGTAGTAGAATGCCACCCATTTCAATCAGAAGTTCTCTTCCTTCTCAGACTAAAATCCAAATGAATTTTCGAGTGCCGCCAGTTTCCATCACGTTTAAGCAGACAAGTTTAAAACGTTGCTGTCAAACTCAATGCTTTTCGATCAACTTTCACATCTCGTAGAATCTGTCAGGATTGTCCCATCAGCCTAAATCAATTTTTTTTTTTTTTATCTTTTTAAACTGTAATGCACGCTGTTACGACGTTAAACTTGTTTTTCCCTTGAACTCTCTTAGCAATTCTAATCAAATAGGAGAAGGATAACTTCACGTTACTTAGCGTAAAAAAAAGTGGTCTCCTTTTCTTTTTAGCCTTCTATCCACCGTTCACCATGTTCATGCTACCACTGTGTATGCAAATGTATAAAAATTTCGTGTTTGCTGTTGACGCCATATTTACTTTCCGCTATCATTTTATTTAGAGAACAAAGAGAAGACAAAAAAAGGAAAAGAAGTTCACACAAATATAACGAAGTAGGAAGAAAGAAAAAAAAAAAGGATAGCGATGTCACAACGGCAGAGCTTTGTTGATCGGAATGCATGCAAGCAGTGTTATAAGAAAAAAAGGCCTAGTTAACTGATAAAATTTAAAGGTGATGACTAAAGATTACATTATTATAATTTAAAGTTGAATTTAAGCTGCCGCGAAGCTAAATAAGTGAATAAAATAGAAAAAATTTAATTTCATTATTTAAATTTCTCATGTTAACCATACTATAATCAATGCAACCTGAACTTGACAGAAGTATTCTTGGATTCAAATATAGATTTAGTATCGCTTTATATTTGTGTAAGACGTAAAATTTATCAGATTTTTTTATTCAGCCCACATTAATAACATCGAATGTTTATAAAATTCACTAACCTAACCTATAAATGTATTTTTATGTATGTATATGTTAATAAACGAAAGAATTTTCCGCTTGTGTTAAAATATGTTTTCTCAAAATGCTTGAATTTCTTTGTCGTCTTATGTATTCGGTAGTTATTGTTATTTCTGTGAACATTTTTATTGTTGTGGAATTTTTGACATATTTTTATTTTATTTATGTTAAACGTAATGACAACAGCAGGCAAGAGTAGGAAAAGAAAATATTATACTAAATAGATTCTTTTATAATGCATATTTTATTTACTTTCAGGAAGAGAGCAGAAGAGGCAGTGAAGCAATTGGATTCTTAGTGATAATATCGATATTCAATTTATTTATTCAGATTATTTGCTATTCATTTACAGCAATAATGTCTTTCATTGATTCTAGCAGTTTAATATTAAAAATATTTACATTATTGAAAAACGTATAAAGACGTATTTGTTTAAAATCATTCTCTCTATCTATATAATGTATACATTACTCACATCGTAACGCCGAACCATAGCCGCAAGTCGATCCACATATTACATGGTGAACAGTATAGTTCTCTCACGAAAGTCTTGCTACTCATAATATGTTAATTACAATGCATGCTCATACATGCTAATGCTAATACACTTATCACGCTCCCTCCCAAATATCTTGACTACGTTCGCTTTTAAAGTAACTTAATAGGATCTCCTACTGCGGATATACTACCTATTCTTCTGTTAGTCTTTTTCTTTCTTTTTAACACAAGGAACCGCGTATTCATTTGTTAAAGAGACACCGCTTAAACGATTCGATTTTAATTCGCAATTTATTAACTTATTAACAATGCATTGGTCCTATAGTTTTTTTTAAAGATTATGCAAAAATTTCTATTTAGTTATACATGTAACGAGAGAACCATTTTTAAGAGTGGTAAAGGATTTCTAAAAGAATTTTATTCGGAAAGTATATAACCCACAGAAATAAACGACCGACCCGAACAAAATAAAAACGGAACTAAACAAAATTTTTGCAAAGTAAATGCCTATTATCTTACGTGTCATTTGGCTTGCTGTTGAATATAAAGCGTTTTGCTCCAAATATTTCATTCATTGAAATTATTTTAAAAACAATCAAATTGTTCCTTCCTGTGTTTTAACTTTCAGATAGGCTTTATCCTTTAGTTGCTGTCATTCCATTTTATTGAATTTAATGGCCGAGGGAAAACGTGCGGATAAAAGAGGAATTTCTTGAAGTTTATATAAGCTGCATACGTGCATATATCCATATATTAAATCTATACCCGATACTCGACTTTCAACTCAATGGTCGTGGGTTCAAATCTTAAGTGCGGTAGTTTTTAATAAAGCCGGAAGCCTTAGATGGTAGCGCTTTGAGACTTTAGTCTTAGAATTTATTCTCTGGCTAAACTTATAATAATAATAATAATAATAATAATACCCAATATATACTACTAGTCAAAAAATTATTAAAGATTCAAAACTGTCTAAAAATTTAGTAGAAACTGCCTTAACAAACTCTGACCCAAACGCTAGTCGGTTATGGTGTACGCGATAACACTATAAGATAAGACTTTTGTCTATTTATTAAGCATTTTAAAGAAATTTTCACAAAAAAGCTCGTACGTATTCGTGAGCCTATTAGTTGCTATATTCTCAATATGTTTCATTTATCTCTTTTTTATCCTCTCTTTATAAATAGATATGCATGCACACACCGTTAATGTACTGATTACGCACTCACAACGATATACTGTTGAAAACCGAAACCGTTCTAGAGTTCGTTCTTTTCTTTGCGCAAATAACCGCGCTTTTATGTATAAAAAGGCTCTGCTTAAACGATTGGATTTTCATCGACAACTTAATAAGTTTTTAATCCGCAATTTAAGAATAAGTTTTTAATAACGCATTGATCGATTTTTTATAATTCACCGAAAACTTATTATTTGTTTAAATTTTTAATGAAAAAATTTTGCACCAAAATTCATAGCAAATTAACCTTTAACCACAAATTAAATAATTCGCAAAAATATACGACCGACCCAGACGAAGTTAACACGTTGACTAAAAGCAATTATTGCAAATTTAATCATCTCATCTACGAATTGTTTTGATGTGGAATGTAGACATTTTACTCTTGAAATGTTATGGGGTCAAGTTACAAGTTTATTCTCTATGTATTTTTTAGTTATTCCTACCATAGTGAAATGGTTCCTTTTTGTATTTTAACGTTCAGATGCGCTTGAGCCTTTAGTTTATTTCGTCATATTCCATCAAATTTAATAGCCGAGCAAAAACGTACGGATAAAAGAAAAACTAAATGTGTAGCCAACATATTCTGCCCAAAAAAATAAAATAAGATATGAGGCTGTCTAAAAGTTTAGTAGAAAATAGTTTAACATATCCTGACCCAAGCCCTACGTACAACAATCCAAGAAATATTTTGATTAAGTGACTATTGTTCGTGTGTTAAGCATTTTAAAGACGACAAATATCGTTGAAAGAAGTCTATTAATAAAAAAATATTTTCTCCATTCCTTATTACATTGTAACTCTTTAAGGTGTTCTTACATTTCAATTAACATTTTTCGTGAACCTATTAATTGTTACATTCTCAATATGTTTCATTCATTTCTCCTTTAATCTCTCTTGATAAATACATGTGCGCTGTAACACTGATTACGCGATATACTGTTGAGAACCCAAATTGGTATAGTGTTCGTGTGTTTTTTTTTTTTTTTTGCTTTTATATATAAAAGGCTCTGCTTAAACGGTTAGATTTTAATAGACAAGTTAAGTATTTAATAATGCATTGGTCGATATTTTATTTAAGAAAATTTAATGAAAAGATTTTCAACCAAAAATCGTGATAAATCAAGTTTTAATTACAAGTTAAATAATTCGCAAAAATCAGCGAGCGAGTCGAACGAAGTAAACGGGTTGACTAAAAGTAATTTTTGCAAATTAGGTGTCATCTCATTTACGATTTGCTTTGTTGTGGAATGTGAAGAAATTTCTCTTAAATTTTGTATCAGATCACTTCATTTTGCTTTGGATAGAAAATTTTGAAATTGCTTTTCGATGCTTGTTCACGCTTTGAGGTTGTAGGATGAATAATTATCTTTTCAGGTTTTATCTACTTTTCCTTTTTTTTCATGTTTTTTTTTTTTGCGGTTTATTACATTTGAATTAATTAAATAAAATTTTTCAAAAGTACATTTTAATACTTCCAATACTTAAATAAATGGCAGTGTGGAGCGAAGAAATAGAATAAACTAGTGAAGAAGAATTAGATTCTTACATGCAGCCCGACAAGAGTTTGAAGTCCAGAAAGAAAGTACCATTAAAAGTGCAGCCATTAGTGTGACGGTTGGTTGCTGATTTGTAGTAATAAGTAGTTGTGTAAACCGCTTCACATGCTTTCTTCTTTCATTTCTAGAATAAAAGTAAATGGGTTCGATTTTTTTTTGCGGAAATTCGCTTTTCGAAAGTATTTAAACACATACATATACGTACATACGCAGACTAATAATAATTCGAAATTTTTATAACCGTTTAAATCATCCTATTCGTTGGCCCGCGCTTAACATGCTTGGCACTAAGCAATGCTTTCCCAATTTTTTGATCACAAGAGTTGCTAGTAATTAAATTCACTTAAGCTTACATAATTCTGTGTTCAAATTAAGAGGACAAAATATGCATTCGTAAGGAATATAACAAAAAAAATGTTCCCCCTTTTTACTCGTTAGGACTTCATCTGCATTACTATTATCTCGATCTCTTACAAAATTATTGAACATAAACCCAGAATAGAACAGCAAATCTAACTTGCATAAGGAAAACAAGACAAAGAAAATGGTCATAGATGTCTTTATTCTTGTACGTACATGTGTTCATCTATGAATGGTACTTCACCATTTTCTTTCTCTCCCACAAGGAAAAAACAACAAATTACTTTACAAAGAACATAATCGCTTAAATCATTTCCATGCGCTGCATAAAAGCGTACAAATATATTAGTTACTTCATACGCTTTGCAATACCCAAGCCATGAATACCATGAATTGGGACAAATCAGAAATTGAATATTCTACAAAATATTTCTACATTTTTCTACTCGCCATGAGTAGAGTGTGTGAGTTCTTGTCCATTTTAGGTATTCGCGATTTTGAATAGTTTCAGCTTTCTTAAGTTTTAAGTGGTCGCGACGGTCACTAAAGGATTTAAGCGAACTTCAAAACGTATTGCCAAGCACCATCACCGTACTGACACACCGTTATTTACAAATAAATAAAAAAAATGTAAAAAAAAAAAAGACGAAAGCATTATGTGATTTTTATCCATTTATTCGATATAATGGCTGTTCAGTTTTCGCACTAACTTTGTTGTTTGTACTTTATGCCGATCCCAATGATTTTGAATTTTGGTTTCTAATCATTTTCACTTATTTTTCATTTTCTGCCGCTAATAGAGTTATCTTGATGTCAGTGGCCTTTTTGGCAAATAAAATGAACGTTAGTTGTTGTACGTAGTTCTTCTAACTCATTTATTCTTTTTTATTTTCTTTTTTTGGTTTTTTTTTTTTGCTTTTTGTTGTTTTTAGCATTTCTTGGCAGTTTTTCCTTAACAACAACTAAGCATATGCCCCCCCAAGCTGAGCATAAATGACAAGTGCAAATGACCAAATTTACACAAAATTAAAAGGAAAAGAAAATAAATGAAAAGCGAAATGCAAAAGTAATAACAAGAAACAGAAGAAAAAAAGAAAATACAATTAAAACATTACGGGGTCACCTAAAAAGCAATTCAATAATAATAATACTTACTTTTGCATAAAAGAAGAGAGAATGATCTTAAATTGAAAATGAAACAAGTAAGAAAATTATATTCTTCCGCGACCCAGTCTTTTACACCTATCACTCTAATCCGTCATATACCGTCAAGATGTCCGCGATATTTAATTTAAGGTTCACACACTTCGCTTGTCACATATTACTTCCCACGTCCTTGTATTCGATATCCAACTGAAAAAACGTATCCACCACATTATGAGCTCATTGGCGCATTTACTGTAGAATTAGTTAGGAAGGTCCAGAACAGTTTTCAAGATTCTGTCTTGTTTACCTTATGAGTAAAATAAACAGAAGATATCAGAAAAGTGAAAAAAATAAACATTTGATCGATTATAAGCTTTTGTAGGAGTGGCGGATCTTTGCTACAAGACCACCCATAGAATATGAATGAAAAATTTTTATGGTTGTATATATAATGGCTTATAAGTAACCAGCAAAACACGAAATAGTTTTTATTGTTGTTTCACTGAGATGGTCTCAGAATATGTTATATTGTGGTCGCATTCCTTGACCGGTTTCTTCCATTTACCACATCAATCTGCGTGCAAGGACTTCCAAAGTTTCTGCCGAAACTGAGGACGGTAGCTTCATTTTTGCCACCAGGAGAATGACATCGCACTGACAGACAGTGGGGTTGGAATTTGATGCTGATCCAAAAGCTTCCTTCCGGGTGTTGCAAACGCTTTGGCAAAATAAATACTGCCCGCATCTTTTGGTGTTGCCTATAAAAAAGTTCTGCCGAACATCTGAATATATTTTTTCCGTTTTTTCCTTCTTGTTTTCCCTCTTTTACTTATTTATTTTTTGCCTTTTTATTTCTTATTTTTATCGCTATCCTGTCTTGCTTCCTTTAAACGCTATTTATATTATTTCTGGTCCGTTTGTAATTTTAATTAGTCAATTATAAAAGATGAAAGACTTTCGCCAAACTATATTTCACATGAATATCCAACCGCCCAGCAGCCACTCAACGACTGATAAAAAAATTTCATAAATTATGCATAAGAGAAACTTTTCAGTAAAACAGTAGAAAAACAAGTTCAAAAGTTATATTCATTCTAGAGACGAATCATAGATACCCACCACCATCATCATCGTCATTATCATCCAAAGCCGATAAATTAAATTTGCCACACAATTTAATAACTGTGTGGGCGCGTCAATTCTTCTTATCCTAAATTTATAAGCAATTGTAGCCCATTAGTAGACCTATTTTTTTTCGTATGGCATGCATATTAAAAACTATTTCTCCTACTTGGTCCATTCAAGAAATCTAGTAATCCTCTGGATTCGATGCCATGATTTTTTTACACGCGACAATTTCAAGCCTCTTCGCATAAGTGATTGAGTAGGATAGGGATCTGAACTAACAAGTCCACGGTTGTGGCATCAAATCTCGAGCGCGGTAGAGTTTTTAATAAAGTCGATAGCCTCAGATGATAGCAGTGCTTTAGTTTCGATTGCATTAAAAGCTTTTAGGAACGCTTTGACATAAGCTTATCGAAATTGTCTGCTTGCTGGCC